ATATGTATATATTAATTCGCTTATCAACGTTTATACGTATCAGTTATTTGAAATGAATCGTAAACGTTGATAAGCAAATTAATTTATAGAGAAAAGACCTTATTATGAGATACCGAGTTTATTTCGGATAAATGCTAGAAATCTATGGGCAAAATAAAAAAATTAGGTCATTTTGAAGGGAATTTAATATACTTTAAGATAATGTTATGTAAAATTTAATTCAAATTTTATTTTTTTTATAAATTAAGGAAATGTAAAAAGTGAGCAAATCGCAAAGTCAAAAAATTGTGTTCCTAATATGAGATATCCCGAGAAATCGATAATAAAACACAAAGTACATTAGTATTGCAATTAAAAAACTTTATTTAATGTTTCTAAAATATAAATAAACACAGTCAGTGCACGTGCAAAATGAATATGCGATGCATTGTACCTAGCTGACTCGACTTCAGTTGGAACTTAGCATCGTAGAAACAGGCATTTGATGTTTATTTCGATTGTCCTTTTTATTATTATATAATAACATTTATACTTCAGCAACGATTTTGACTATGACATAGGAGCATAGGTAATTTTATATTAGAAATACGCTGGGTACCTCATATTACGATTTTTACGCCTTATGGTTTTACGATCATCAAATCTGACTTCTGTAATTAAGCAATTTAATATAATGTATTTTTCTATTAATATGATCTTACTTTATCTACATGAAGAATTTATTCCCAAATATTTACTTATTAAATAATAAACAGGGTTTAAAGGCTTTTCTCAATGAAATTTGAAGACATCCAAATTCTAAAATCTTTTTTTGCAACAACTACAGGCACGATCTAATAATAAATTTTTTCCATTAAATAGTTTTCTAAGAATAATAAATTCATGGTGAAATCAATAGATAGCGTTTATTAGTTTAGCTAAAACGCCGCTATCTCATACATTAGGCGCTCATTTCAGGGAGGATAATAGGGAGTTTTCCTCTATATTTATATACATACACACATATATATATATATATA